TTCCCCCCCCAGTCCTGCTCGGGATGCACGCTTCCCACCCACCCCCCGCCAGGGGTGCACGCTCCCCCCCCGCGTCCTGCTCGGGATGCACGCTTCCCACTCACCCCCCCGGGGTGCACGCTCCCCCCCCGCGCCCCGCCCGGGGGGTGCACGCCCCCCCTGCTCCCCCAACCCCATCGGGGTCTAGGGCCAGCGGAGGACACTGATGTTCGGAACGCCTCTCCAGGATGGACGATAAATAAGAGCTGCGAACACTCGAGACCTCGGATGCGCGGGGACCCGGCGGGGTCCGGATGCCGTGAGCGGTCCGGGAACGTTGGCATCTGGTTCGTTAAGTGGAACGAACTTTCCCTGGAGATGCAGCCGGCCCCGGAGGCGGCGGCGGCGGCGCTGGCTTGGAAGTTTTGGCCTCTGGATGTTCTCAGTAGAAAGTGAAGCATTAAAAAGGGGGCTCCGCCTGCCCCCTCTTTTGTAGTGGTAATGAGGGTGCGCGGGGCTGCGGGGCGCGAGGACCGGCCGCATCCCCCCCCCACGGGGTATGGTGTGTGTGGGGGGGGGTCTGTTCTGGAAAAGTCTAAGGGTCTTTTTTTCCTGCAACCTCCAAGACTTGTGAAGAGGAAGGCGGTTGCTGGGAGGTGGGGGCGAGGGGACCCCAAAGGTATCTTGGGGAGTCCGGGATCAAAGTGAGGACAGTGAATCCCAAGGAATAAGTAAATCTCGCCGGGGCGCAGAGACGCCGCCCCCCCCCGGGCCGCGCCCCGCGCGCCGCGGCTGCGAAAACAAATGAAATAAAGCAAAACAGTGCTCTGGCAACCTCGCAGGACGCCTGCTTTCGCGAAGGGAAGATTTGTCTCTTCCGCGGCCCCGGCTGGCCGCCTCGCCCCCCTTCCCCGCTCCCGCTTCCCCCCGATCGCTGGAAACTTAAGCCGCGCGCGGAGGCTGCAGGTGCGCGCGGGGCTGCGGCCCGGCCCGGACGAGCCCGGGACCGCCGGGCCTCGCAGGCATTGATCGGCTGGGCGCGCGCGCTGAGTGACGGCGCGGTTGCCATGGCAGCCGCCTGAGCGGCGCCGCGAGGACAAGGCTACAGGGCGGCGTGAATGGGCGGCGTCACGCGCCTGGCGCCAGAGAGTCTGCTCCGGGGCTCGGG